CGAATTCTTCAAGTTTTCCGGATAATTTGGCCTGCCAAACATGACATTTGCGGTAACAAAAAGAAACCCGGTTGAATATCATCCTAMTTTTCCTTCCAGTAAGACTAGACTTGTAAATAGACCTGTCTCTGTGGTCAGTTGAGTCACCAATCAGAAATATAATATCACAAGTAATGGTACAAGCTCCATTATAAAATGATATTTTTGTCATGACCAAAGCATTGTTTTGTGAAACTATGAATGGCTGGTTTTGTTTTTTTTTCACTTCAAAATCCTTTTGTTTGTATTCGGGTGGCCATTSATTGGAGCCCTATAGGGGATGTTAAACCTGTTGCTGCAAAACAAACCCACTCGAAGTGTTACACCAAAAAAGGCAGTTTATTGCTCACTTGTACTTGCTTTTGCTAATAAATTGCTGCTTAAATTTGCAGAGAATATAAGCTATTGATATGCCGTCAGTGTTTACAACTCTAGTACACTGTTTAKAGATGGCGCTTCACGGATATTCCACAGAACAGTCTTTATGCTGCTTAATCTRAAAAAGGTCAGCGAAATTGTATGAAAAGCACTTAAGGTYGATATGATTTCAAAATATATAACTTCGGCCAAGAGTTTGCTTTTCACWTGTCAAGAAGTGGAGTTAGTCTTATCCCCTTGAACTTCTTCTAAGAGAGAGTAAATTGCTTTCTTCAAATTCTTGAATGCCCGGCATTTTCTCTTTTCATTACCTCGCCTACAGTTCAACTATTCCAAGCCGAAGGTTAAAAAGTTTTATATTCAGCGATGAAACATTTCGTTACCATCCTAGATTTCACAAAGCCCTCTGTACAAAGTAAATATCAATTGTTGTTTCATAGCTGCAGACAAGAAAACATCAGTTTTGAACAATATGAAAAGTCAGTGTTTTGATTGGGAAGGAAGTACACAATTTCCTGTTGGTTGTTAGCGGTATTCCAATGAAAAGATTCTCTAGAATTGAGCATTTCCTATGATAACTGTATTGTTGTTTATTATAACTCGAGTAACAAATGAATAAAACAACAGTAAATGATATAAACACATTAGCCATCACGTGGCAAGATTACAAAACAACCACGGTATATACTGTAAAGCATGTCCAAGCGTACAACAAAAAACAGGTGAAATATGTCTAGATGTTATGAATAATTAATAGATGTTATAATGCTTAGTTTATTGGTAATATTTCTCAAGAAAACGGAAAATTATCAACATTGAATTTTTCGCGCCATACCGTTAGTTATTGTTTTTTTGTAATAGTTCATTGCGCACACACCGCCTGACCACATGGTTTTAACGTCAAGACAACCTCTGGCCTCATTGACTCACACAGGTACCTCAGGGGATTGTAATTGAGCCTTAAGAACGGATGGTTTTTGCTTTTTTGCCATTAGAGAAACAGCAGCGAACGCTTATGCAAAGAGTTTAGGCTATTTTTCGATAATCATCAGTGCTGTTGAAACTGGACCGTTACCTCTTCTCCAATCAAGATTGATCAACTGATTAAGGGTTAAAACACCTCCATGTCTGCTTGCTATCAGGTAAAATTTTTAGCTGGATACCATCTTATATTTTAACTCCACGAGATCAATTCTGTACGAAATTGTAGAATTCGAGMTTATCATTAGCTGCGAATTTGGATATTGATGCGTGGGAAAATACTAGCGTGTCCTTTTGGATCTCAATTAACAATAGTTTTAACAAACAGTTTTCTTTAACATGTATCGATATGTTTTCATTTGGTAAACTTTCACACTTTACTAGTTGAATCTTTGTTATGATATATTTACACGCTTTTCAGTTTTAAACTTCCCAATTTCACGCTGCTAATAAGGGGTAGGGCCCAATTAAAAACCCATGCGCAACGCCAACTGCTAAATATARTGGCAGATGGCCAAATGAGCAGGAAATTCAAACCCGTAACACAAGAAATCGTGATACTTTCTTCTCGCTATTATGACTTCCTACTAGCCTGATCATATTTCAATCTATTGAAACGTCAACAGCAGTCGGAGCATAACTGACAAAAGTCAATGTGACGTGCARCGRGGTGAAGCTCAGAGAGGAAGTTTTAATTCAAAGATTTCTTGAGAAGACGGTACTCGAGACRTATCATGGCAGAGCAAAATGGATTCTTRACATTGGTGGTGCTTGTCCWTTGCTTGGTGTTTATTGGTGGATCGAATGGAGGTAAAATCAAACATATCGATATTTAGTAGTTCTTTCGAGCGTGAACGATTTATTCCTCACGGTCTAGCAGAAACTTCAATAATCAATATCCCATGAACATATCCACGTGTAAAACGAATGCTTTACGCATCGTTTTCAATACAGTATATGGCGGGCTGCATGTTTCTCCAGCAGTGCACTAACAATGTGTTAATTTGAATAAATTGAATCTGGCAGATGGCTGAAAGATAATAATAATAGGCGCTCCAACTCAGGGGAGAAATGCTCCCGCAACTACCACTAGAAACTAAATGCTTGGCAAAGCTGTTCATTGAACAGTATCAAACAGGTTTTTTTTTTGCGAATAATACGTAGGAATTAAATTGTGGTCACACGTTAATTAAAGAATCAAATAGTTTGTTTTTCCATCTGATCATTAATATGGATCACAATGCCGTGACAGTAAGTACCTGTTTTTGGTATTGTTTTGTAAAACTACAAGATGTCCCACTCAAAACTGAAGCGCGAAGTGTTGTGGCACTAGTTTGAAAACACCGTTTAACAGTTGAACCCTGTTACTTTCGAGTCGTGGTAAACTAGAGGTTAGTTGTCCAGCTTTCTAAAGGGCAAACCACTATAAATTAGTAGTTAGATATTAGTTAAAAAAGTTAAAATAAAGAATTGAAACAACATCTTAACTATGAGTATGAGAAGAATGATACAGGGCAAATGTTCGCGAGCATAAATTAAACTTAAACCACAAAATCTGGTGAAGTTACCACATACAATGTACCGCTTAAACTGCTAGCCAGTTGTTTGCAGCCTTTTCCTAACAAAAACACGCATTGAATAGGCGATAAAAAAGTCGCACTGTGAAGGTCACGG